AATCCTAAATGGTCCTGAAGTGGTGAAAGCTCCGAAGACCCTGAGAACCACTTGTTTAGGCAGGTTGCATCCTCTTGAGTGGGTTTTGGCAAAGTGGAGATGTGAGGCAGGAGTACAGGGAAGAAGAACCGTGGAGGGTCAGGACAATTCTCGAGTCGCCGCGTGTTGTGGCCTCTTGGATTACAACATACTCTATCAAATCTTTATGTCGTTGTAATTTGGTGACTCTGATCTTGGGTGACCATGTATGTGCATTCTCAGCCTTTGCAAGCGAGGGGTCGCAGGTCCTTGTGAAAGAACACTCATCGTGAAACTGCTTCCTTTGTCCACGACTCTGCAACCATGACGACGCCAGCCAGCTCCGATATTTTCGTGGGGAGCAGCACGTGCTGGGAACCGGGCCCAGCGTCCCTTATAATAAGAATAATGGTTCAGGATGATTTGAGGATGATTCCAGATGATTCCAGATGATTCCAGATGATTCCGGATGATTCAGGACGACGCCAGCGAGGCTACAATCACAATGCGCAGTAACAACCTCGGCAGGAAACTTTTTTTTTTTTTTTTTTTTTTTTTTTTTGGAGCAGCACGTGCTGAGAACAGGGCCCAGCGTCCCATATGGAATTTGACATAGAATTAAAAAGGAATTTTGAAAGTTTAAGATCCCGGGGCTAAGAAGAAACTCAATCCCAAAGAAAAGACAAAACTTCACAGTGTTTTCCTACCAGGCAAATACGTACAACACTCAACAAAATCACATCTACAAAACCATGTGGCAGTATCAATGGGAAGGAAAGGCCATTGGGATCCCCAGGACGCAAGCTTATATAGTACACCCCAAGAATATACAAGCTGCTACACACAGCGAATATACAAGATGCTGCTTTGGTGACTTCACACTACAAGCTATATACACACAAATCGAAGGAAGACCCTGCACACCCGATTGCCACGGCAAGCGTCAATCTGAAAGAGAGCTCGACAGTGGCTCCAACGATGAACAAAAAAGCAGGACCATAGGAAATGATACACAAGCAACCGGCAGATACCTCACAAAAAGAAAGATGAAAAGCAGATATCAGGCCGGCTGCCCGCTGCGACGGCGACCGTCAGCAGACCCCGACAATACCCCGACAATGGTGCCAAGAAGAGCAGAATGACTCCGGAGCTTTTTTTTTTTTTTTTTTTTAATCTTGAATGCTCAAGTTTTTATAAAAGCCGTGAACCGGGGCCGGCGTCCCTTTCAAAATTAGGTGGGGCCCTGACCGGGCAAGGCATCACCAGCCAAGCACATCGAGGGCACCACTAGATTTCACCCCACTGCCTACTCCACAACCAACTCCACAGCCCCTACCACTGAAAAATCGAAAAATCGAACGAAAATTATCAGCAAAATCTAAGTTCATCACCAAGAAACTCTAATCACAATAGTGGTGACAACCCTAATAATTTTAGTGACCCAAATTCCACAGACCATGAAGAAACCATGCGCAAAAAGAAACTACTGAAGAAAAAGAATCAAAACCACAGAAAGGAAACCAGCGGTCAGCACTACTTGATCATGTCCACTATCCGTCAGGAGTTACTACCAAGCCCTGCCAATCCGCCCTGCCACCCGCGCGACAGGGGTCTGTGCCCACAGGCCCCAAACTGCTGACAGAGACCCTGCAATACCCACCCAACCCACCTCCTCACCATTCAAAGCGGATAGCACCTCCTCACACTCTTCATTACAAAAACACCAACTCCACCATGATGCTGTTTTCACCAACCAGGGGATCACCCCACCTCCCGCGCAGCAGGGGCCAAAAAGCCCCACAAAACCCACCCACCTCCTCGTGATTTAGGGTAAGCCTCTCCCTCAGTCTGCATGCACCCCCTACTGGATGCTTCCCCGCCCTCCATGACGAAGCCCCAGTGAAGCAATGCTCGCCTTTCAGATGACAGCAGGACACCAGCCTATTAAGATGAAATGCAGAGAATCTCTTCTGTTGGACTTCAAAAATTACTAGTCCATTCTGCGAGACGGTTGTGATTTTTGATAGTGAGATAGCTCGTTCCTTTGTGTCTTTTGGTAGATTTTATTAGTCTGTTTGAGGTCAGTTTTTTCAGAAATAGCAGATTGTTGACAGGAGTATGGGACACTGGACCTGGTTTCCAGTTAGCCTCTCTGAGGCTTGGCTCTCCTTCCCGGGTTGAGATGTGGAGGGATTCCCGGCCTCCTTTTGCTCTTATAATCGAACTATGCTATTTCATCAAAAAAAAAAAAAAAAAAAAAAAAAAAATTTTTTTTTTTTTTTTTTTTTTTTTTTGAAAAAGGAGCGATCATCATTATCAAGCCGGGAATCGGGGTAGGCGTTCCTCACAAGGTTTGTTGCAGCGCACAGGCTGAGCAAGGCTCTCTGGCCAAGCAAAGCCAGGGCCATGACTGGTTCATGACTTCTGAGTCTTTTGACCAAACATGAGGTGCAACTTTTTCTTCTGTTTTTTAATTTCTAATTTTTAATTTTTAATTTTTTTGACCTGAGGTACAGCTTCATGAAATGTGGCAGCAAAAAAAAAAAAAGAAAAAAAAAAGGATTGTGGCAGCGACATGTGTTTCATTTATGGAGAAAAGGAGACTGGTGATGATGATTCATATAAATGAAAATTAAATTAAATTAAATAAAAAAAAGAAAAGAAAGGGACGTGTGTGTGTGATGCGTGCGTGACCCACTGAGATCAGCGCAGACAATTTTGCCTGAGATCTGGGGCAAGATCTCATTCGTTGAACCTGGTTATTGTTTTTGGTTTCGACAGCCAAAAAAGAAGAATCCGGGTAAGTGGGACCTTGCCCCCTGTTATGTGTGGAGAGAGAGAGAGAGAGAGCAGTCAAGGCTTTTCTTTTTCGAAGTTTTTTAGCCAAAAAAAAAAAAAAAAAAAAAAAAAACTCGGGGGGGGGGGGGGGGGGGGGGGGGTGGGGGGGGTTGATTGAGGGAAATCACCTTTCTTGAAATGCAGCACTTGTTGGTGAAACTTCTGTGCGCATTCAACACACTAGAAAGCTGACTCAGAAAACAACACACTAGAAAGCTGACTCAGAAAACTAACTCAGAAAGGTGTGCAGTGGCACAACAAGAATAAGGGCCTCGCTCCGCTGCACAACATTCTAAACGTATCTGGACATCGCAGTCGTCCCGATACATTCACAATGTTTGGTAAGTCCCAATGCATCTGGTCCCGACTTCAGTCCACATACATGTAGAATGTTGAGTAGCGGCCCCGATAGACTTCACAACATTACAAATGCGTCTGGACCCCATCCATTTCAAAAAAGAATTTCTCCTTGGGAAACATGAGCAAGCCTACCTGTAGGGAGATGCTGGAGAGATCAATGCATGGACCCCTCCAGTTCCTTTGTTTGACACATTGGGCCCGGCTGGACTACTCTCCACATGCAGAAAAGACACAAAATATAGCGGTGTGTCTTTTCATGTTCTAGCCGAAGATTCATTCTCAGAGTTGGACCCCACAGGAATGCGGAAAGGAAGAATGTTTCCCCGAAACCGTTTCCGGGACCCCACAGGCAGCGGAGGACCTTCTGGCAAAAGCAAAATGTCTTCCAAATACCCACAACCCGCAATTAATGGCGTGGAAGAACGTGTATGAGCGTTTTCACATCGTCCGCGGCGTGGAAAAGTGGCTCTGGAGGACATCTCGCCGCGATTTTGTGCCGAAAGTTCAGAGTGGGGGAGGGAGTGCGCGGGGTCCATCTCCTCCATCCGCCAAACATTGTCCCTCCATGCGCCATCCCTTGGTGCAGTGGAAGTTGGGAGCGTTGTGCGTGTTGTTCGACCGAACATCACGAGTGTCGTCGGTAGAAGGTTCCTGCCCGAAGGGAACGACATCAGGCAATGCCATGCAGTTCAGTGTTGTGGCGGTATAGGGCGGATTGTGGAGGGAGGGTTGACAAACCCAGACGTGGCTGTTGCAGGGACAGTTTATGCATGGCCGTACGCCGCACACCCACCACGATCGACTGTTGTGCAAGATGGTGTTTTGGGTGGTGGCAGGGCTTGTCCGTGTCGGTGCCTGCGAGATTCGATCGCCATGACGATGATCATCATCGACGTCGGCAACCGTGAGAGGGGGGGGTTGGTTCACACATGTTCCTCTGGGGATTGTTTATCATTGTGCCCGTGCTTGTTGTGTTCGCCATCGTTGTTCTCCTTTGTTTGGACACTGTAGTGGTCGCTCTCCTCGCCACTCGTCGGTAGCACTGTTGTTCGTTTGCACCACCGGTATCTAGGGACACGTGCGAAGCCATGGAAGGACGTACTTTCACTGATGAACTGTACAGTGATTTGGGGGGCTCTTGTCAGTTCGCTGACGTGGGGGGTGACGCGAGTTTTTGCACACAACCACTCACCGAGTCGGTGCAATCGGTGCCTTCATGGTGTTACGTGCTGCACCCCAGTGTCGGCAGAGGTTCGTTCCCAGGTTATGGCCGGGAGAGATCTGCTTCGCAAGGTGCAAACAGCATGGTGCACGCGCCATTACATCCGCAAGGTTTCCAAGAAGGGGCGGTCATGGCTTGTGCCAACATTTGGGGTTCCCCTTCGGATCATCCACGATAGTTGTTCAAGCCTCGGGCGGGGATGATGTCGCCCATCTTGCCAGTTCCTGTTCGCAGAACGACAGCAGTGGGTTGTTCCGACCACCCAACTCCGCATGGAGTGAGTGATCAGCAGTCGACAGAACTGTCTGTGATTGGGGGGGGGGGAGTGTGTCAAGGCACGTCACCTGTAATCGGTATGGCGTTGGGCCGTGGAGCTGCACAAGCGCCGAGAAACACAGAAGTCTTCCAGAGGAGAATGTCAGGTGACGTGCAGGCGAGGGGGTTGGACAACAGTTCACCTGACCTTTTTTGCGCATCTGACAGCAGGGGATATCGCCAGTGGCAGGAAGAAGGCAGGAGCGACGTCATAACCGGGTTTCCGGGGAACATGGCCAGCGAGACAGGGGAGGCCGGTCTCGAGGGCCGGGGGATGGGAAACCATGCACTGGGGAGAGAGCAGACAAGATGACGATAATGGAACGACTCCCTCCACACCTGCCAAGTATAATGAAGGAATCACTCATCGGAGCAAAGTGCGTCCCGCGGGTGGCCAGAAAAGGAAAAGGGGCAACTCACCACGATCGCCGAAGAAGAACAACCCCTGCTCTTTAGAGGCGAGATTGGACCTCGCGAAGTTCGTCGGCGACGACGATGCCCTTATGGCTGATGTCGAAGGTGCTCAAGGGTGCATGACGAGGTCGAAAAGATGGGAGTGGGTTGCAGGAAGGCTTGGAGAAATCGGTTACTCCAGGACAGCGGAAGACTGCAGGAACTTGAAGAAATGGGTGGAGCTGGTGAAGAAGGTGAGGGAGATCCGGGATGCATGCGAAGGGTTGAGGAAACAAGCGTACTGGGACACCACCACGAAACAACGGAGGAAGCTAGGGGTGAGTTTGACGTTCAAGCGGCAGTTGTGGGACGCTATGGAGTGATATCGGTTGAAGAAGTCAGTGACGTGTGACGACACACTGGCTTCAGAAGATTTGAGAGGGGGTGGATCACCGAGTGGCGGCGAGGCGGGTTCGGAGGGTGTTGGGACGGATGCTGCGGACACCGCCACCAAGACACGACATACCTCAAGCGGGAAAGCCCGGGGGGGGGATTCTCCGGCGTCGATGTACATGCCGTCGGTGATGGAGGAGTCGACGAGGGCCTTGTGTGAGGTTTTAGACAAGGCTGTCGGCACATTGGCTCGTGCATCGACGGATGGTTCGAGGATGGTTGCCACGGAGATCAGGGCTGTCGTCGGGGCAATGCGGCAGGGCAATGCCATTTTGGAAACGCTCGTCGGGGTTATGGCGGCAAGAGGTGCAGGGAGTGGTCAGGGAGCGGACGACAGTCGTGATACGGACCCCTCGACAACATCGGGATCGACCTTGGCCAGCGCGGCTTCCAATTCCGATCCACCTGCGAAAGTACGGAGAAAAAAATAATAGGGAAAAAAAAAAAAATCAGAAAACGAAAAGCCGCACCGCATGAACAGGGGTGTTGCGACGTGCATATTATGCGGGATGTGCGCTATAAAAAGACGTCATCCCACCCGTTCGTACGGTATTGGAGCATTCCGCTGTAGTGCATCTCTTATTGCGACTGTAAGCGGTTGCCGAGAGAGAGAGAGAGAGAGAGAGAGAGAGAGAGAGAGAGAGAGAGAGAGAGAGAGAGAGAGAGAGAGAGAGAG